CCCCCCCCCCCCCAAAAAAAAAGCACCCTGTTCTAATTATTAAGGCCCCTACAGTAGCCAGAAATGCCAGGCCCTGCAGACAAGAACGGCGGTGCAGTGGGCGAAAGAGGCCTTTTGGAAGAAGAAGGGTTCTGCTTTCTCGGGAGTTTCATCGCAGACTTCCAGTTTTGGAATTTTAGGTTTGGAGGCTTAGGGTTTACGAGTTTAGGGGTCTAGGGTTTAGGGTTTAGGGGCTGATGACTGCCCCTTCAGTAGGTGAAGGGTTAGAGCATAAGACGACTCAGTAAGTAGCTTACAAGTGCGCTGATACGTCCCCCAACTCAAAGATACTCCACTTGTACTTACTACGAAGTTTTCTGCGACCAAAGCCCTAAACCCTAAACCCTAAACCTTAAACCCTAAACCCTAAACTCTAAACCCTAAACCTTTTCCTAAACTCTAACCCCCCAAACCTCAAGCAGAAAACAGGACCGATGCCTATAAAGCCATGGTGAAGCTCTTTCATATAGGGGCTTTTAGGGTTTAGGGCTTTAGGGTTCAAGGTTTAGGGGTTTAGGGTTTAGGGTTTAGGGTTTAAGGTTTAGGGTTAGGGTTTAGGGTGATTCATCACCTATATTATTCCCTACTGTAAGGGCCAATTTTTGTAAGTCGCCATATGCCAGAGGTCCACCTCATCGACCTCTTGATCGCCTCGGAGCCTCCTTCGCAAGACGTGTTCTGTTTTTGGTCTGTGCTGGTTGGTTCAAGGCTTTGAGGATTTGGGGGTTTAGGGTTTAGGGTTTAGGGTTTAGGGTCTAGGGTTAAGACTTTGAGGATTTGGGGGATGAGAGTTTCTCATGTTTGGGTCGGTGCCGGGTCTGAGGGTTCCGGGTCTGGTGGTTCAGGATTCCGCTTAGGACGGCGGATGCTACTAGCGAGGATGACGACGACGCGGGCACCAATAGAGTTAGATTGGGGAGCGGCTACACTAATTACTGAGGTCCATATAATTATACATCAAAGCCTTAGTCTGGAAGGAGGAAGAAGCAGTAGCAAATCAGTGCTATCCCTGTTGTTTCTAATTGATTATACAAGAGTAGCCAGAAACCCTGCGGTAACTGAGAATCGAAACCCTATAACCCTAAACCCCTACAGTAAACCCTAGACCGTAGTAGAATTAGACTAGCAAATCCCCTATAACCCTACACCCCTAAACCCCTAAACCCCAAACCCTAAACACTAAACCCTAAATCCTAAACCCTAAACCCTAAACCCCTAAACCCTATACCCTAGAACCCTTAAGCCCTAAACCCTAGAACCCTAAACCCTAAACCCCTAAACCCCTAAACCCTAAAACCCTAACCCTAAACCAGAAACCCTAAACCCTAAACACTAATCCACTAAACCCCGAACCCCTAAACCCTAAACCAATAAATCCTAAGCCGTAGTAGATGAACAGGAAACCTTGAGCTTCGCAAGCCACCCAAAGGATCTCCCTCTTGGAGTGTTTGGTTTAGGGCTTTAGGGTTTAGGGTTTAGAGTGTTTGCTTTAGGGTTTGGGGTTTAGAAATTAGGGTTTAGGGCTTAGGGTTTGGGGTTTGGGGTTGGGAGTCCATAAAGGTGAGGAGCCTCCCCCAAACTACCATAAACTGACCTTTTTGATGGGTCCCCATTGTAGACTCTGGAGTGTTGACCGGTTTAGGGTTTTGGGTTTAGGGTTTAGGGTTTAGGTATTAGGGTTTAGGGTATTTAGGGTTTAGGGTTTAGGGTTACAGTGATCCGTATGATCCAGTGGGAGTGTTGTGCAGAACAGTGAGCCAAGCCACAGATGATGTACCTGATCGTCCCGACATAGCAATGCCACTGAGATGATGGATCATGGAGACAGCTGAGATGGTGCCCTCGGATATGATTGGCACGGATGCATGGGAGGGATTCCCTTGCCACATATCACAGGAGGCAGGATACAAATGGAGGCATGATTGCGCTTGCGCCCCTGAAGCCTAAAGCCCTAAGCCCTAAGCCCTAAGCCCTAAGCCCCAAACCGCAACCCTAAACCCTAAGCCCGAACCCCTAAACCCGCCCGAACCCCTAAACCCTAAGCCCTAAACCTGGGGGATTAGAGGCTTAGGACCAAGAGTCTTTCAACCTTAAGCCCGACAACCCACAACCCCGCACCGCAAAAGCCCAAACCCCAAAACCCAAAGTTTGAGGGTTTAGGGTTTAGGGTTTAGCGCTTTAGGATTTAGGGTTTAGGGCTTTAGGGTTTTGGGTTTGGGGTTTAGGGTCTTGAGTCTTGAGGTTTAGGGCAAACAAAAACTATAACCGAAACATGAGAAACCCATCATTCGCATCTCAGGAGTACTGGCTGACCCTCTTCGCTGATTGGACCGAATGGTCGCAGTCTGCAAGCAGGCACTGCGGCAGCAAAATCTGCTTTGGTGCGCTTGTTTCGCGCATGCCAATGTCCTGTGGGGTGGGGTGAAAGTAAGGAGCTGTTATAGAAGGTCTCCTCTTTGGGATTCCCCGCACATGCTTTCACGTCACCCTTTGTTCGTCTTGACAGGAAGGCGTTAATTAATGATTATGTCATAATTACAGCCCTTCAGATCAGTCCAAGACCTTTTACCTTGAACTCCAAAGCTTAAACTCTAAATCCCCAGGCCCCTAAACCCTAAACCTTAGACACGCACCTGAGCTCCTAAACCCTAAATCCCCAGGCCCCTAAACCCTAAACCCTAAACACGAACCTGAGCTGTTAAACCCTAAATCCCCAGGCCCCTCAACCCTAAACACGAACCTGAGCTCCTAAACCCTCCCCTAAACCCTAAACCCTAAACACGAACCTGAGCCCCCAAACCCTAAATACCAAACCATAAACTCTTGGAAGCTGCACCACGAAGCTCCTGAAGCTGTCGACCCGAACCCCCTTAGCCCCGAACCCCATTGCGTTTAGGGTTTGGGGTTTGGGGTTTAGGGTGTACGGGTTTGGGTTTAGGGTTTTAGGATTTAGGGTTCAAGGACTAGGGTTTAGAGATTGCACCTGTATCCCCGAACCCTACAAAATAGTAGGTTATGACCCCTTAATTAGAAGGTCTAACCCTTAAAACGGTAGGTTTTAGGATCCACAGGTAGTCCCTAAACCCTAAACCCTAAACCCTAAACCCTAAACCCTAAACCCTAAACCCTAATCCCCAAATCAACCGCAGGGTGGGCTCGCGCCCCGCCTTTCGCGCCGTCTCTGGGGCGGCCGTGCGCCTCCGACCCGAGGCTTCGAAGTTTGAGGGTTTAGGGTTTTGGGTTTGGGGTTTAGGGTTTAGGGTCTAGGTTTTAGGGTTTAGGGTTTGGGGTTTAGGGTTTGGGGGATAGGGTTTAGGGTTTAGGGTTCAGCATTCTTGGGCTTTCGAGTTCTGTTCGGGGTTTTGAGGGTGATTCGGGGCTTTTGCGGATGTTGGAGGCTTTATTCGTCTGAAGCTGCATGTTTATATTATATATATGTATGTTTATTTAGCTAACTGTTTATTTATTTGCGATTTTCAGAGGGTTTTCACTTGTCTGAGTTTCGAAGACTTTGCGGGTGCAGGGGTAGGCATGAGGGCTTGAGCCCTAAACTCTAAATGCGAACTGAAAGGGTTTAATCGCTTGGGGTTTCCGGTTTAATATAGGACCCTAAATAATTACTAACACTATTTTGGGGGTTCCTTATCTTACTTATGCTATAAAGGACCCCCAAACCCTATTCTAATTATTATTAAGGCCCCTATGTTAGGGTTGTAAACCTTACATGCAAGGCTTTGAAGGCCGCAGGGGCGGGGTTTGTGGAGTTTTTGGTTTTCGGGCTTGGGGCTTTTCAAGGTTGTTTAGACCGTAGGGTTCAGAGCTTAGGCATGCCAATGCCCCGGGGCTCTACTTGGGGTTTAGCTAGAAGCGCTAAACCCCAAGCCCTAAACCCTAAACCCTCGACCCCAAACCCTAAACCCTAAACCCTATACCCCAAACCCTAAACCCTAAACCCCAAAATTCTGATGTGTAATGTCCCTGCTGATGTGCTTATACTCCCTGAACCAGCGTCTGCCGACATGGATGCGTATTCTCACCGGCTGACATGAGATAACCTAAACCCTAAACCCTAAACCCTATAACCCCACCACCAAGTAGCCCTTGTCGACTAGTTCAAGGCTTGGGGCTCAGGGTGCAGAGTTTAGGGTGTAAGGGTTTAGGTTTAGGGGTTTAGGGTTTAGGGGTTTATATAGGGGTTTAGGGTTTAGGGGTTTAGGGGTTTAGGGTTTAGGATTCAGAGTTTAGGGGTTTAGGGGTTTAGGGGTTTAGGGTTTAGGGGTTTAGGGGCTTAGGGTTTAGGGTGTAGAGTTTAGGGTTAAGGGGTTAAGTTGAAGCATGTCACAAGCAACACGTTGGGCATAGATGGCTCTACAGCGCGAACCTCGTTACCGACTTCGACTCTTTCCAGTGCTCCCACATGAGCCACTTCAGGCATAGTGCCGTCAGTATGGGGATATCATTACCAACCTCGACTCCTTCTAGCCCATTGGCTCCAAGGTCATAGTGCAACCATCATCGGTAGGGAGTACAGGAGTGACTGGCCCCTCTACCATAGAGATGGCTAACTCAAGATGGGCCGGCGGGCATGGGCCGGTTGTCAACTCTGGCAGGACATGAACCAGCTGTCCCAGGGTGAGGAGCACATACACCACATCGACGGTGACCCTGGAAACACCAGGCTAGAAGACCTGCAGAAGCCAGCCCCGAAAGACCACCTGAAACAACACACGGAGCTGAAAGGGTGCAGGCCTAGAAATCCACCACCGTCGCCTGGGGCAGACAGGAGGAGGAAGAGGCAGAGGACGGCAAGGTGGTAGGCCAAGCCAGGATTGGTTAGGGGTTTGGGGCTTTAAGGGTTTCGGAGTCCAGAGTTTCGGGGTTGGGGGTTTAGGGTCTAGGATTTATGGTTATGGGGTTTACGGTTCTGAGTCTGGGGATTTAGAGGTTATTGAAGGTTTAGGGTTTCGGGGAGTTTAGAGTTCTGGGTTTGGGGTGGGTTTAGGGTTGAGGGTGTTAGGGTTCAGGGTTCAGCCGTTGACTCCATCAAGGCCAAGGGTGTTATCAGTGAGCATGATGTGCCCAATGGCCATGCCATAATCCCTCTTGCTCCCTAAAACGCCCTGCGCTCTAAACCCTCAAAGTTCGACCCGAAACCCCCAAACTCCTGCACTCAAAGCCCTAAGCCCCCTTCACAAAACCATAAAGCCCTACGTCCTACACCCAAAGCCCGGAACCCTACCCTGAACTCTCATTAGGCTTCAAGGTCGAAGCCGGAAGAATTGAGTGATTGTTTATGGCTATAGCCTAAGGTTAGAAGTATGGGCCCCTAATATGGACCCCTGGGCCTTTCTAGGGGCCCTTAAGGGTACATATAGGGTATATAGTAGGTGTATAAGAATCCCACGGTTAAGGGCCCGGGGTTCATGGTTTGTCAACATTAGAAATAGTATTTTAATAGTGTGATAGACCCCGAAAAACCCCCTGTCTGATTCTTAAGGTAAACATAGAGGCCTAAATAATTACCTACAGT